CCAGAAGCCCCAAAAGACAGCCCAGTTTAAAACTGGGTAAGATATATGAGTTGATATTTCACCGTAAAGAAGATATACAAATGGTTAATGGCTAATAAAGTCATGAAAAGATGTTCAACATCTGTAGTGATTAGGAAAATGTAAACTTAAATAAGAATGAGATACCATTTCACACCTATTAGAATGGTTGTAATAAATAAGGCAGACAGTAACAAATGTTGGTTAGGATGTGGAGAAATGGGACCCCTCACACATTGCTAGTGACAATATAAAATGCTGCAGACACTGAAAAACAGTTTGGAAGTTTCTCAAAAAACTAAACATAAAACTACCAAATGACCCAGCGATTCCACTCCTAGATATAGACATAAGAAAAATTTAAACATATGTCTAAACCATGACTGGTATGGAAATTTTCATTGCAGAATAGAGAAATGTTGATAATAGTCCCAAACCGGAAACAACTTGAATGTCAATCAACCAGTAAATGGATATACTAAGTGTGATACATCCATATAATGGAATACTATTTTGACAATAAAAAGTAAGAACTAAAAACACATGCTACATCACACATAAACCTCAAAAACATTATGCAAAGAGAAAGAAGCCAGACACAAGAGACCACATATATTACATGCTTACAAGCAGGGGGAGCAGCAGGCAGAGGGAGGAACAGACTCCCCGCCAAGCAAGGAGCCCAATGTGGGACTGGATCCCAGGACCCTGGGACCATGACCTGAGCCCAAGGCAGACGCTTAACAGACTGAGCCATCCAGGTGTCCCTCTACTCCCCTATTTTTAAAATTCTTACTTTCCTCCCCTCCTCCAATCTCCAACAAAAACTCTCCCCAAAGCCCTTAGTACATTTTAGCATATTTGTCCCAGCCCTTCCATTCACAGCAGGAAAATATGGGCCCTTTGCAAGCAGCTCATTCATATTTTTATGGAGTGCTTATTCAGTTCAGTTACCTTGCCCTCAGGATGCTAACAGTTTGACGGAAGAGACAGAGGATTCATAGAAATAACTATGAAATAGAAGTTCCTTTTTTAAAAAAGATTTTATTTATTTATTTGAGAGAGAGAGAGAATGAGAGAGAGCATGAGAGGGGGAAGGAAAATCAATTAATCTTGGGGCACCTGGGTGGCTCATTCGGTTAAACATCTGCCTTTGGCTCAGGTCATGATCCCAGGGTCCTGGGATCAAGCCCCACATTGAGCTCCCCACTTAGCAAGGAGCCTACTTCTCCTTTTCCCTCTACCCATCCCCCCTACTTACGCTCACTTTCTTTCTCTCTCTCTCGCTTTCTGTCTCTCTCCTTCAAATAAATAAAATCTTTAAAATAAGCTTGTCAGTTTCTTATTTTCTTTAATAAACTTTTTATTTTTGAATAATTTTAGATTTGCAGAAAATGTGCAAAGATAGTATGGAGAGTTCCCATATACTGTTCACCCAGTTTCTGTTTCCCAATGTTACCATCTTACATTACTGTGCTACATCTGTCAAAACTAGGAGACCAACATTGGTACATTGCTATTAACTAACAGCCTAATTTGGATTTCCCCAGTTTTTAAATGAGTGTCCTTTCTCTGTTCCAGGATCCAATCTAGAATACCACATTGCATTTAATCATATTTTCCCTCTCTTCTCTAGTCTGTGACAGTTTTCAACCTTTCCTTGTTTTTCATGCATGACTTTAATGGTCTTGAGGAATACTAGTCAGGTATTTTGTAAAATGTCCCCTAATTTGGTTTATGTGATATTTTTCTCATGATTAGACTGTACTCATGGGTTTTCAGAAAGAATGCCACAGAGCTTCGGTATACTTCTCACCACATAATGTCAGGAGATATCTGCTATCCACATGGCATCACTAATAAGGTTAACCATGAAGTCAATTTTCTTTTTTAAAAGGCAGCTAGCATTTTCATTGGGATCGTAATGACTCTATATATCAATTCAAAAGAATTGCCATCTTAATAACTTAGTTTTCCAATCCGTAAATATGGTTTATCTCTCTACTTATTTAAATAAGTCTTTAATCTCCCTCGCCTCCTCCAGGCATGAATTTCTCACCAGGATCTGTCCACTCTCCTAGACCTTCAAGTAGCTGCTTTTTATTGTTATTATTATTTACATATTCCAGAGTCTATAGTTATAACCTAGAAAATGTCAGCTCAGTAAGATCTAATTCAGCCACTGAAAGCAAAATCTAACATTGCCTCAGATACTTTTTTAAGGTATAAAGGGAAAATAATTTATATTGTTATCCTTCAAATACCCTTAGACTAAAAACTTAATCACAATCTGTGTTAAACCAATCTGCAATCTTAAAGTTCACCACCAATTAGCAGACCTACAGTCTATGATCATGAAAGAGAGCTTTTCTCTGTGTCAAATGAATTTGACTATGTGAAATTATGACTTCATACTTAGTTAAAATTCCAAACTCTTAAGAGATCAAACACAAGAGAATCATATTAAAATCTTAGTAAAATTATTCAGTGTTATCCACGATGTTGTAAAATGGGCATAATTCTATAGAGTAATTAATATATTTTTAATGGTAATATAGTTTTAACTAACTCTTTTGGAAAGCAAATGCATATGAGCCTTAAAATTATTCATAACTTCGACCAAGTAATCCCACTTCTGAGACTCTGCCCTATGGAAATAATGCTGAATAGAGTCAGAGGGAAGAGTGACCCTTATGCACAAAGATTTCCACCAAAGTGTTATTTATAATATGAAAAAAACTGGGACACCTGGGTGGCTCAGTCAGTTAAGCGTCTGCCTTCAGCTCAGGTCATGATCCCAGGGTCCTGGGATCGAGTCCCACATCGGGCTCCCTGCTCCGCGGGGAGCCTGCTTCTCCCTCTGCCTCTGCCTCTCTCTCTCTATCTCTCATGAATAAATAAATAAAATCTTTAAAAAAAAAAAAAAGAAAAGAAAAAAACTGATACTACTTAAATGTCCAATAAGAAATTCTTATATTCACACAGCCACAAGCTTTAGTAATCCTATAATATTAAGCAAATGTACATGCTGTGTGAGCTCGACTCTAATATTTTTTTAAGTATAGAAGAAAAGCCTAGAAATTAATATACCATATTCTTAATGATGGCTAGTGGAACTATAGATATTTTCTTTTTCTTCTGCCTGCTTGCTATTTTTTCAAAAGTGAGCCAAGAAAACAATAAGATCTTTTTTAATCTTATAAAAATTTACCTTATTTTTGAATTTCTGAGCTGGAAAATTTAGAAAACTGGTTCACCCTCTGTACTTCATTGGTAAGGAAATTTATATTATTTCTAAGGCTAAGGAAATAGGCATGGGTCACATCAGCAATATTTAATTAAAATACTTTTTAAATTATTAGCCTCAAACAAACTTCATTTTGATATGAATGCTCTAGAACCTGGAAAATGAATTTTAGAGTTGTGTTTCCAATGAATGCTGAATAAAAGTGGAGTTTTATTCTAAAAACCTTTCCAGATATGAGATTTAAGATGCCTAGTTAAAAAGCTCCTTGTTCGCTTGTTACAGTTACTAATGTTTGTTTGTAGTTGTCCAAACAGAAATGACAAAGTACAATGTGATCTTCTGCATCAGGACTTTCTATTATAACTAGTCCACCTTTACTGTTCAACTCTCATGAGCTAATGATAGAGTACTAGCATTGCTGATTAATTATCTACTAAATCATACACTGAACATAATGACTTTTAACCTGGTTTTAAAATCCCAAACAATTTTTCCTGATGTCTTTCTAAATAGAAAAAAAAAAGTTTTTAGTTTAACATTTCATACCACGGGAAGATAATCTAGAGGTAATGTTAAAGGTTAGTAGAGTGTTTATCTTATCAAAAGTGGTCTGGTCTGTTTGGGTTACTGTTTGGATTCCAGCTAATCAGGCCTATTTACTAGTTTAAGAACTTTCAACAATTAACAGTGTTCAAACAGCACCAATCTGCTATGTTATTTCAGCTGGGAAAACAGCTATATGAACCAATACAGCTTCCTTACTAAAAATAAATGATAGCACTTTCCACTCACTGGGGAGTGAGTTTTTAGGTATGTCACACTGTCACACTGCATAACAAAACAAAAGAGTGTGAAACATCTAAATAATAAAATACCCTAAAGACATGCCATGTTTTTGGATTTAAAAAAATAATAAAGTAACTTTGCTAACAAAAACATTATTGCAGGAAGACAAAACAAATATAAAGTGAGTTTAAGAGGTAGGTTGCAGTCCTTTTCCATCAAGAACCATGACTTTCCTTGTTTTTAAGACCGCTTAGTTGTATTAGCAATTTTTAACACATGGTACCTCAAATCAACAATACATTTGCTTTTCAGACTTTGACACTTCCCAAGCTGCTAGGCCTATGCTTAACCAAACAAGTACAGTAGCACAAGTGGAACATTTATGTAACACAGAAACTATAAATGTTCTGCTCATTCTAAAAGATATGACAAAGGGATAAGAACATTAAATTTTAAAACAGATTTAAAACTCCTGAGAAGAACGTACTTAGCTTATACTTGTAATTAAAAGTATCACATCACTCGTTTACTGAAAATAAAATAATATATTCTTTCTTTTCTCTAATTTTTTTAAATTCATTGATCATTTATCTGGTGTTATGCTCTATCCTAAGGACTTTACATACATTCTCTCATTGAATCCTTCTGATAATACTATGAGGTGTAAATACTAACATTTATCTTCATTTTGCAGATGGAAAAACAGCCTTAGATTAAGTAATCTGCCCAAGGTCACTCAGCTAGTTCATACTGGAATATGGTTTGAACAGAGAAGAGGGAGGTCTGATTTCAGAGTCTGTGCTCTTACCTACTATGGATAAATAAAAATGACACTAAAGAATTTTTAGAAGAGATATCAAAATACCTGAAATAAACATTCCTGATAATAAAGTCATAAAACACATCCTATCTGTGGCCTTTGTTTTCCCACTGACAGATATTCCCTTACCAATGTCCGCTCTTTCTTCCCTGCTACTGCCCCTTCTTCTTCCACCTTCCAGCAAACATACACACACACACACACACAAGCAGCTTTGCTGATAGTGCCTGTGGTACCAAAAAATAGGGCAGGAAAAAGTTAATATTCTACTTCAAAAGTGGACTAAATGCTTAAGTGTGGCCTCAGAACTGAAGGGGGTAAGTAGGGGAGGAGACATCATTATTTGAACAATTGATTGGATGTTCCCACTTGTTTGTTTACTTGAGGTAAACTCATTTACAGGTATATAGGAACATGAGAAAAGTTTCCAAAGAAGAGGTGGTTCCTGGATTTCCTTCACTTCTCTGCTCAAGCCAAAAGCCCTGCTATTTATCTAACAGAAACAAATATAGAAGGTTTTCCATGACAGTTTAAATGGACATTTCTCTGCATAAAGTTAGGTCTTACTGAAGCAGATCTTACAAACGAGTGTTTTCCAGTCTACAGAACTTTCTGCAATGAAGGAAATGTTTGACATTTGTGCTACCCAATATGGTAGCTACCAGTCATATGTGGCTGTTGAACACTTGAAATATGGCTAGTGGGACTTAGGGACACATTTTTAACTTTATCTAATTTTAATTTAAATACTCACATATGGCTAATGCCTATCATATCAGACAGAATACCCATAGCCTTATCTCAATAACGACTATTCGTTGAGGATCTACTATCTGCTACAATAGCTACCCTTGAAGAAGGTAAAATTTTGTCCCCATTTTACAGATAAGTAAACTAAGGCACAGAGAGACTCATGGATTTACAATTATTAAGTGGTAAATTCTGGTTTTCACACCTACATCTGTCCCTCTCAAGGCCTGATACTTTCATTACCATTGGTTTTTAATACCAGCAGCATATTAGGTGGCGAGCTTTTCAAAAATACTTAATTCTCGGGCGCCTGGGTGGCTCAGTTGGTTAAGCGACTGCCTTCGGCTCAGGTCATGATCCTGGAGTCCCGGAATTGAGTCCCGCATCGGGCTCCCTGCTTGGCAGGGAGTCTGCTTCGTCCTCTGACCCTATCCCCTCTCATGTGTTCTCTCTCTCTCATTCTCTCTCTCTCAAATAAATAAATAAAATCTTTAAAAAAAAAATACTTATTCTCAAGTTCCACTCCCATAATTTATTTAATTGGTCAGGGGCAGGGCCCAGATACATACATATCACTGAAACCGTCACTGTGTAACAACTGGTGTGACTGGGGGCCCCCTGTTACTGGACAGCTGTTTCCAAAAGGGAGCTACAAAGAAGTTCTACCTCTACTTCTTCTCTTAAGCATGGTTAACACTAGTCCTAAAGAGTCCCTCTCCTTTTTGCATCAGAGTAAATGACCAAGAGCAACTCCTAGCCAGGATGAGGTCACATAGCTAGTTGATAGAGCTGAGACCAGGGCCCAGGTATGGGTTATATGTAAATGCTCCAGCTTCTGGAGCTGTGGAGACCCCAAATGAGCAAAGGTCAAGAAAGCTCAGCCCAGGGATTTAAAGATTTATTTATTTGACAGAGAGAGACACAGCGAGAGGGAACACAAGCAGGGGGAGTGAGAGAGGGAGAAGCAGGCTTCCCGTGGAGCAGGGAGCCCAATGTGGGGCTCAATCCCAGGACCCTGGGATCATGACCCGAGCTGAAGGCAGACACTTAACGCCTGAGCCACCCAGGCGTCCCTCAGCCCAGGGATTTAAAGCCCCATGCAGCAACCCAGAGGCTGGAAGGCAGACAAAAGGCTGCAGGGGCTATTTGACTGTTTTTAGAGGTGGGAACATTCAGCAATCCCAGGCTTGTCGACTTTGTCCTCTCCACCCCCTTTTTGCCACGTCAAAGGTCCTGAGGAGTGGTCCAAGGGCCTCTGTGCAGTATTTTTCACTCTGCCAAGGTTATTTCTAACAGATATAACCCTACCCTGTCACACAGTATGTACCTAAAATTGTAACTGTGAAATGAATGAATGCAGATTTTGAAATTCAAGAGGCTGGGACAAATCAGCTTCTAGATGGGTTCAGATATCTGAGTATGTGTTTGGTAAATAACTTCCTAAAAATCAAATCAAAAAGTCCCTTCAAACTGACAGTTACCAGAGAACAAGGGGTGGGGGGATGGGCAAAATGGGTGAGGGGGAGTGGGAGATACAAGCTTTCAGTTATGGAATGAGTAAGTCACGGGAATAAAAGGCATAGCATAGGGAATATAGTCCATAGATACTGCAATAGCGTTGTATGGTGACAGATGGTAGCTACACTCGTGGTGAACCTAACATAACGTATAGAGATGTTGAATCACTATGTTGCACATCTGAAACTAATGTAACAGTGTGTGTCAACTATACTCAAAAATATTCATAAAAATAATTTTTTATTTTTAAAAAAAGAAATTTAGCATCCAATATAAATAGAAAAGACATCTGAAATACAATATCAAATACAATTAAAATAATTAATCAATATAATTATCAAAAAAGATGGGTCACCAATGAGTACCTTTTTCGACAGTTAAAAAAAAGTTCCTTCAAAACCTTTGCACTTGCCTCAGAAAAGTGGGTAGAGAAGATGACATCAGTCTCCAAGACAGGATTATTTTTTGTTTCAGAGGCTAAAAGCCTGAAAGGAATGAAATAAGAAGAGGAAAGCAGAATATTGACAAAAAGTTAAACAGGAATTTATGCCATATCCATACATACTCCAAGAGTCCTGTTAAGCACAGGCCACCTGCATTTAGCCCTGCTTGGTCTAGGAGACCACTAAATCAAGTTCTGGGGTGAGAAATAAAGTCAACAAAGCAAGGGCCTGAAGGAAACTGCCACAAAAATAGAAAACGCTGCTATAAACATTACCCCTCAGACTAGCTAAGTATGTCTTTCTCTCCTACAATAAAGGAGTAAAAATAAAAATAATCTGTGTTTGAGGCTATGCTCAGGAATGGTGTGTGGCTATAAAGTACACTGTGGAAATCATCTCTCCATTCAGAAACTCAGCACAGCTGCTCCAATAAGGAGGCTGTGTATGTTCTGAAGCTAAATGAACTTGTGTTCTAAGAATCTCTTTAGAGGTAATAGCTCTGAATGTCATGAGCAAAAATCTCAAGGATGATTGTAGCAAATGGCTTCAAACAGAAACATCTAGTCTGTTGTAAGTTTCCTTTAGAAGGGAGGACTTGAATTCTCCAGAAACAAAATCACCAATCATTCTTGCCAACCTACTGCTTATAAAAGTAGGGAAAACATAGGTTTCTCAAGCTACAGCTGCGGATTCAAAAATTAGTTTGTACCAGTTGATTTTGCTTTAGTAATGTAAAAAGTAAACCACCCAAAGAGAGCAGAAATAATTAACCAAGGGCATCTAGAGATGTGAAAGAAGATTATGGTAGAAAAAGCCACTTCAAGTATCTCTAAACTTGAATTTCAAACCTTGGTTTCTTTTGAACCTTACCTGTCTGCTTCACCCACCACCTTTTTTTTTTTCTTTCTTTCTTAATAGTAATACATGCCCAAGTTTTAAAAACCACACAGAGGTGTTTATAACTAAACATTACAGTCTTCTAACCTATGTCTATTCTCAATCATATTCCAAATCCCTAGAAATGGTTTTGTTTTGTTTTTTTTAATCATTGTCTAGCTCTTAAAATGTTAAAGAAACATGATGTCCCAGGTGTAAGTGTCCTAAGGAAGTTTGTTTGGCTTCAAAGTTTCCATCAGGAGCCAGCAGTGTAAGGATACAGAGAATCAAAAGATGGAAGCTCTACTCCTCACTTCTTCCCAACTATGTTTGTGCCTTTGAGGAAAGCATTTTCCTCTATGGAATTGTTTTCCCTGTCTGGAATTGAAAATGCTGACTGTTGGTGCACTTCTAATTCAAACCATCTATACCAGCACTTTCTAACACAGGTAAGCTATAAGGTGAGCTATCAGTGAGCCACACCAATAATTTAAAATTTTTTAATAACGACATTAAAAAATAAATATGTAAAACTAATTTTAATACTTTTTATTTACCCTAATATATCCAAATTATTAACATTTCAACAGGTAATCAATATTAAAACATTATCAATATTTTAATATTATTATTAACAGTTTACAATCCAAAATTAAGTTTTCAAATCTGCTATGTATTTGACACAAGACATCTTAACTGAGACTATCCACATTTCAAGGGCTCAATAACCACATGTTAATTAGTTGCTACTGTCTTGGGCAGCACAGTTTTATACCAGTGTTGGGACATCATTCCAAAAAAAGCTCTATTTCAGTGAGTAACTCACTTCTGCATCTCTCTTTTGATTGCCTCTGTTACCAGCAAAACATTATAATTGATTACCATTTGTGGCAATATCTAATTATCAGTAAGAAATTGTTGAATCTACTTAGATCACTCATTAGGTTCACTATCAGAGCTTTGATTAATATCAGTGCTGTTTCTCTATAATACCTTTAGTCTTTTAGTGAATTTTTCTTGTCCGACCGAGTCATTCTACTGAATTTTAGACACTTACCCTGGGCTTCATAACAATTAGGATATAATATCACTATTAATTAACAATTTTTTTATATTTAAATTCAATAAAGTAACATATAGTATAATATTATTTTCAGAGGTAGAGTTCAGTGATTCATCATTCTTATATAACACCCAGTGCTCATTACATCACATGCCCTCCTTAATGTCCATCACCCAGTTAATCCCATCCTCCCACCTCCCTCCCCTCCAGCAACCCTCAGTTTATTTCCTCTGATTAAGAGTCTTACGATTTGTCTCGCTCTCTGATTTCATCTTGTTTTATTTTTCCCTCCCTTCCCCCATGATCTCTGTTTTGTTGCTTAAATTCCACATTTAAGAATCTCACGAGTGACATCATATGGTGACTGTCTTTCTCTGATTTATTTCACTTAGCATAATACCCCATAGCTCCATCTATGTCATTGCAAATGGCAATATTTCATTTTTTTTATGACTGAGTAGTATTCCATTGTGTGTATATAGATAGATAGGTAGATATATCTACATATATACCACATCTTCTTTATCCGTTCATCTGTCAATGGACATCTCAGGTCTTT